GTTCTTCTTGGAGGGGTGGAAATCTGCTGCTTCATGCAGGGAAAAGTTATGCAGACAAGCTGTGTTTTGGTGCCTGGTTTTGTGCAAAACATGGAAATCCTTTCCTGCCTGGTCTCTTTTCATTCTTTTTGCTGTCAGTCATTGTACATGTCATCAGTGTCTGCGGAAAAGACAGCACAGTCAGGGCACAAACCTACTGCAGCCTCCAGTGTGTGAAAAGCAACATTAGCTTAAAGATTTTCACATGAGAACGGCTGGTGATTGATGGGACATACAGTGCAGTCATTAAAACCAGAAATACGTGTCTGCTCTGGAACCCCTCGCTGGTGTCCAGGATTAAAGAGACTGTAACAAACTGCATTACTGGTGCAAACGTGAGCAAGCCGTGGGTTTGTGCTGGAAGCCTTGTTTCTGCAGCACGGTTCAGCTTACTTCAGCAGCCAATGAGAAGAGAATTTGTGCAGCATGCTTAGGGTAGGTTCATCCAGCCTGGTGCAGTACCCAGTGTGCTTTTATTTGCATCCCTCTGAGCTAGGATGCAGATGACAAGGTGCAGCCCAGCAGACTCCAAACAGCCAGGTGTAATGCAGGTTTTTCTACTGGATTTAAGTGTGCTGCCATCAGTGCTGCACTCGAAACAGCTGGCTTTGTTGCACTGCAAGCTGCTGTCACATTAGCTAGTGTCAGATGCCAGCCATTTACAGTATGCGCCATCACAGCATGACTTAAGTTGGCAACACAGAGTCAATCACATGCCAGCAGCCTACTGTAAGGGTGGGGGAGTGTGTGGAAGGAAAGGGGGAGAAGATACTCTTATAAAATCTTTTAATGATTTATTTTTAATATCCATTTTTCAAGCCTTGGGAAGTGCAGTCCATATGCTTTTCCCTCCTGGCTGTAGTTGGCAAAGAAGCTGACGAATATGGTCCTTCAGACTCCTTCCATTTTGCGAGGAGCCAGAAAATACGGCTATATTTAGCATGTTACCAAGGCCAGCAGCAGAGCGTGTTGCTGGGTGGTGATTCCCTGGCTGCAGGCTCGCGGGCCACCTGGGACAAGGTGGCAATGCACCTTCCCTGGAGTCAATACTCATGCTAAATTAACAGCAACAAACTCTTCCAGTTACAACAGGATGGCTGCACTGGTCCCAGCAGGCTCAGCACGCTGCTCGCTGACACAGGTCGGTCTCTGAGCACTGTGCCCTTTCCTGACACATGCAGCGACCCGCTCCAGGTGCTAGGATGGTGCTTTTTAGTGCAACGCTCAGCTTGGAGAGTGTCTCAGCAGGTCTCTGCAGGGCACTGGGGCTGTCCTGTGCCCTGTACTGAGCATTTGATGTGCTGGAGCCACAGCTAGTCACTGCAGCAAAACTGGGCCTTTTAGCATGAAGACGCTCATCTGAAACTTAGGGGGCTGACTCCTGTTGTATTTTCTCATATTGTATTCCTAGGCCACCCAGGTATAAAATGGAGTTGTCCTTATTTGTCCCCAGCCCAGTATCCACACAGCAGATTTGCTACCAGTTCCCTGTTGTTTTCCCTGCTGTGTTGCAGCTGGTACTGAGAAGTGAATAATGGCAGTTCCTTTGTCCTTCTGGCGGCTTTCGTAGAGCTGAAATTGGTCTTGAAGAGTGTACGTGTTGCTGAGAAGTAGTGAACTGTGGGCATTGTGATAGAAGTGTAGAAGGGATCACCCCCACCAGTGTTGGAGTTCAGAGGATACTAGAGGTGCCCATCACTTTAGAGCAAGACATCTTGAAAGTTGTTTCATAGCTGGATGTCTAAACTGGGAACATTTTGTGTTACCGTCACATCATCAGTTCTCAAAATTCATTGTCTGAGAGATGAAGAACCTACTGTGGTGTTGGAGAGGGCAACCCGACTCAGCTGTGGCTTCTAACCTGTCCTGGTGAAATGCAGTGGTTGATTATGCTCAGGATCAAAATGATGGTGAGGATGAGCTAGATTGAAGGTGTGGTTTTGAATCGAAGTGCAGCGGTGATTCATTTAGTCTTCCTGGAGACCTAGAAAGCCTGACTGACAACCGTGCTGCACTTCACAGCCTTTGCTCTGCAGCAGCATCTGCACAGCTCTCAGTTCCTCACAAATACATGTCCTCATTGAAACCAGTGGCACTCTGTGTGGGCACTGCTTTCTGCTCACAGCTCTGTCTGCAGGATCAAGGCCTCGTGCTGTATGGGGATTTTTAATAAAAACGTCCTGTTTGTAGAACCCCCTGTTGGAATTAAACTCTGTTTTGAGAAAAAAGTAGAACGAAGCTTCACACCAAGCTGGGGTGGCTAGTATCAATGACATGCAAAATTTCAGTCGGAATAGCAAAGTCCTTTTCAAGTTGAAGAAGGCCCTGTAAGTATTGTTTACAAAAAATAGTAGCTCTTTTTTCATCTTCTCCATTCCTGCAGTGTAGAAACATCTACACAGATTTATTCCAAATTTGATAGAAATTAGTGTTTTCCCAACCCAAAGCACTTGTGCCAAGTTTCAACCAGGAGGAATTTCTAAGGCTGATGCATAAGCCCTCGAAGACTGGAGCTTAGAACAGACCAGCTGCCTGGCCATCGGACAACCCTCTGCTCTGCGGGGTCTGCTCCTGGTCTGCAGCAACCTGAGCAGCCCCACAGAAGTTGTGGAGGTGGGATGCTGCAGATATGCTCTGAGCCTGAATGCTGGACTCTTGTTGGGTCCCAGGTGATGGGAAGGGCTGTGGAGGGACCTGATCCCATGCAGCTGGAAAGATGCCATGAGAAGGATGACCCAAACCTACCTAGCGCTGATGAGTCTCCTTCTAGATTAATGCAGTTATTTACCTTGTAGTAGTGCTGGATTGTCTGAGCACCAGCCAGCTGCGTGGTGCCATTTTACCCTCACTTTACACAGATGTAAGAAAGTGTGTGGTGATGAAGATTCATGTGCTCTGGGCCTGTGAGCAATTAACTCACTGCTGGGGATCTGGGGCTGTTAGATTGCTGAGAAGCCAAAACAATAGCATTAAAAAGCCTCTTTCTTTTTGAGTTGGGTTGTCAGGAGCCACTGGGCTCTTCTGGGAGCAGGGCAGAGAGTTTCACTCCACAAAGGCAGGCTGCTGAAGTTTGGGAGTGTTTTTTCCTGTCTCAGTGGGTTTAGACCATCACTTCTTGCATTTAGTTATTTGCCTCTAAATAATAACAGGGAGCCAGGAGTTTTGTTTAGCTCTCTGATCTCCTTGGAGAAGATAAAGGAGCCTGTTTCTCATGATGCCCCATTGCACAGCCCCTTTCACGCCACAGATGGGCTCTGCAGCCCTTTCTCCAGTGAAACTGTTATCCTCACCAGGAAAGGGGGCAGAGGAAAGCACACATAAAGCTTGCAGATCTTCGACTGCTCTCCAGTGACCTGCCCCTCTCTTGGTGTGCTGAGGAGCCTGGCTGGGGGTTCAAAAGCAACCCCTGCAGCAGGTCACAGTGTCAGCTTTCTGCAGCGGTACCCAGACTGTCCAGCGATTCCACTTGTGCATTTGTACAGGCAGATACAGGTCTTAAAAATCCCCAGGGGAGCATCCTGGATGCAGGCAGGGGCCCATGCTAGAGGGTTTCCACCAGTCTGTGCCCTGGGTGCGGTGGTGTGTAATGGGTGTACCTTTGTGGACCTGGTTATGGGATTACAGCTCTGCTGTGTGTGATCCTGCCAACAGGAGCAGGTATGTGGGGTCACCCAATGTGCCCCATTTTTGAAAGCAAACTTAATATATTGAGACCGAGAACTCAGTGTCCAGCCCTTGAGGAGAGTGCCACGGACAGGCTGGGTAATGGATGGTCCTGCTCCTTTGCTGGCTGCAGGAACAATTATTAGTTATCTGTCATGCAACGGCTCTGTGGTCCCCAGGCCTGGCCTTGTTTTATTAGGCTCTGAATAGCTACAGAAGAATTACTTCCTCAAAAAAATTCACCAGAAGTTATTTATAAAATTTACGCATAAAGTTGCATAAAATGTTTCTTGTATTCTGTATGCCTCTGTTTCTTGAGGAGGGAATACACAGGGAAAGATGGGGGGGACGGGACTATTTTTCGAGAATTATTTCATCTTAACAACAAAATTTGTTACTAGTTTTCTGTGTTCAGTGGACTGTTGGTATTTATCTTCCTATGTCTACTTGCAAACACTATTAAAGCAAGGCACAGTTTATAGATGTTTTTTAAAAGTGATGGTCCCAGTTGATTTGAGGTGATCTGTAACATTAGTGATCCTTTGCTTTTTAGGAGCCACTGGCTTCCATAGTGCTTATGTTTTTTTTTGGGGGG